CCCATGTCCCCAACATCCCCACATCCCCATGTCCCCAACATCCCCACGTCCCCACGTCCCCATGTCTTTACTCAACACCTTTGGTGCAACCCCATTTCCCTTCTGATATTGTCGGCTCTGTCCGACCATCTGCAGAAGTTGATGCAATGCATCTATATTTTAGATACTCCCTATTTATTCGAAGTAACTTATGTTATTTATTTAGATACCATAGTGTGCCATCTGTGTAACGCGTTCTTTCTCTCTCTCTCTCTCTCTTTTTTTTTAAGATTTTATTTATTGATCCAAATGGTGCCAAGTGCAGTTTACATTTATTACATTTTTACCATTTATTCTAAACGTTGGGGGGGGGGGAGGGGAAAGCAGTATGATATTATTTTTTTTAAACAAACGTAAACTCGGGTGTGATGCTGTTACATACTCACGATAAAGTGAAAATAAAAGGAGAACTCTATTGATTTCTCTGTGGTTGTGTCGATTTCCCTGTGGTTTTCATCTTAGTGCTGCCTCTGAGCGAGTCACTGCGGGGTGGCATTACGTCCCCAGAGTGGGGATGAGCATGGGAAATGTGGGTTTTCTCTTGGAAGAGCAGAGAGGGTCCACGCGGCGCTCTGCAGGCTAAGAGCGGATGGAGCTTGACTTTGTTTTCCCATTTCCTGCAGAAACCTCCATGCACGTCCGCCAGCAGCCCCTGTTTGTGTCATTCCATCATCACAAACATATATTGATGCAAAATCACTGATTTAAAACATTACCAGGGCTGGGTTGTTGCCCGTATGAGTCTGTACTGGTTTGGCCACAGAAATAATTGTCCTCATCCCCTCTGTGTGAAGGCTCTTCCACTTGGGTTGGCTCAAAGCTGAAGCATCCTGTAGGGATGAACCAATTCTGGCAAAATCACGTCCAAAAAAAAAAAAAAAAATGTTTTTAAAGGAAAGAAGGGGAGAAAGAGAACGCGAGGTTTTGATAAGGTCAGCCAGAAACGTGTTTCATTTGCTCATCCGGAAGCAGCGCTGAGGTTAGAGAAGTTTTACAGGGAAAACAACTCGCAGTCAGCAGCAGCGTTGGCTGCGCTTCTGTTGCTCCATGGTATGAAGACGATGATGATGGTGGTTGATATTTTGCTTTGGGGGAAATGTTGCAATTTGGAATCCCAGCCAAGTTCAGCCCTCAACCACTCATCCAAGCAGCACTTGTTCGTTCCATCTTTACCACCCATCGGCCCCAGGTGTCTGCCTCGTTCTGTGGGCAGAAGGGAAAACGCCGCCGAACCCAAAAAGATTCACAGTGGTTTTTCAAGAATGGAAAAAAAGGTCTGTTTATCTTCCCCCCGTCGTGCCACCCAGAGATCTGACATCTCGTGGCCGACTCAACCACTCGCCCCCGAAGCTCTGCTCTGTAAATATTTTACGAAGCATCTTTTGAGGCTCATAAATCTCCGTCTGCGCCCGCGTGTGCGCCGGGCCGTGGGGGTGTGAGTGCTCCAAAAGCTGCCATCTCGCTGCCGGCCGGCCCGTGAAAAATAGAAGAGAAAAGCAAAAGGAAAAAAAAGGAAAAAAGACAAAGTTTTAATGATCAAATTGGAGAGGGCTGCTTGGAAACTGACTCGTCCAGAAAGAAAATAATGTTTGCAGGCGACAGCGTACAGACAGGTCATGCTCCTGCGCTGGGCTGAAGGGATTTTGAGTGCCAGTTCTTGGGGTTGAGGTGTGTGTTGCTTGCTTGGATGTGGGGGATTTTCAGTGGCTGGTGCCAGCTGTAAAGCCCCAACGTTTGGTATTCATGTTTTTAAGTAGAAAAGGAAACGGCTGAGAAATGGGATGTGTGTCTGCCCATAGGCTCAGGAAAGCTGGAAAGCAGAGTTTGGGGTTGGTTTGGGTTCCTTCACGCACTCAGGACAAACCTGGCAGGGGCTGTCAGGCTCCTTCTCCTGTGTTTTCAGGGTTTTGGTTTGTCTCAGCCATTTCTCTTCCCATCCCCAACTGCAGTGCTGCACTACATGGGGATTTGTGTTTCTCTCACGCTCTGCCTTTCCTCCCCACTCCTGGCAGCCCTACAGAACAGAGGTTCCATGGGTAGGAAGCTCAGCAGGGCCATGGGGATATTTTCTAGGATACTGGAAGTACTTGGAGTGAGGGGACACTGCACTTTTCCAGGCCATGAAGGGACAGGGATGTCCCAGTGGAGGGACAGAACCCCGCGCCACGCCAGCTGGCACCAAGGAGGGCTGACCACCTCCTGCCTTAGATGGCAGCTGTCTGCTCAGATCCTGCTCCAAAAACTCGACCTTTTTAAATTATTCTTTCCCCGGTTTCCCATCAGGATCAACCTCTCGCTCTCCTTTTGGAGAAGCAAACCTCTCCCCTTTGCTTTTCAGACCATCTCTGCCCCAAAGCATCAGCTGAGAACATTTCAGCCTGGCTCCTATCACCTTTGGGTGAAAGCAGGGGAGGTCTGGGGGGAGCAGGGTGTTTTCACATCACCTCTGTGAGAGACTGAAGGAGCCCCTCACACTGACGTATGGCATTTTCCCAAGTGGGTGCAGATGGGAAAAGCCAGCGCCAGGCCCCGCAGCCGTCCAGATGTTTCCTTCGATGAAGTCGCCCCTTCCAGAGTTTCCCAACTGCGGTGTCAGCTTTCTCATCCCACAAGGAATTCAGCCTGTGTGCGCCTCCGTGTCACTGAGAAGGGGAAGTTTCGTGCTGGATTTTGTCCTGGCATTGCCATGTCCATGCCCTTCCTTGGCAGAAAGAGACTGCTCACCTGCGGAATATTCCTTCTCTCTAATCCCATCTATCCCGGCTCAGTCAACAGCATTAACATCTTCCATTTCTCCAGCTGCTCAGGACCTGAAGGGCTTAGAGATGGGAAGAACACCGGCGTGCATCCAGGAGCTAAAGGAAAAGTGTGTCTGTAGGCAGGCAAGGCAAGAGCAGAAGCATGGGCAAATATTTGGCAATAAAGACGGTTGCTTCACAAATATTTTGCTCTTTGAAGCAGTCAGCAAGCACACGGCCAAGGAAGATGTGGCATGTTTCTCTGTGTGAATTTCTTTGCTAAGATCCAGCAAAGGCCCTTCAAGAAATGAAGCAGCGTTGGTGAGGCCCCGTCTAGATGGGTACCATCAGAAGGATGGGAAATAGAGGAGGGATAAAAGTTCAGATTTCAGAGCGAAGGATTTGTTCTTAGGCTTGTGATGGTCGATATGTTCAACCAACCTGCAAAGCAGAGAGAAAAAAAAACAGGCGACAAAGGTTGTGAAAGAAAAGACTGAGAATACTAAAGACAAGGTCTTGCTGGTGGGTCATCAGCCACAGAATGACTGCGCAAGGAAATGAAGAGGGAATTCTTTGGAAATCTTTACTAAACGGTGCTGATGGAGAAAACAATTGTGTCTCTGTATGCATCGCTGGGCTTGGAGCTGACTTTCCTCGTGGAAACATCCTGGGGCTACAACAGACCTTTGGAAACCTCCGCTCGGGGCTCAGCAGCAGTCAGGAAGACAAGCTGGATGTCCGGAGGTGGCAGCAGGGAGCCTGGGCTGTGTCCCTTATCTCCATGCAATGGGGCTCCCCGGTTGGAAAGTAAACCTTCCAGCAGCGTGACCTGGACAGCAGGAAGTTCAATAAAGGTCAAACACAACAAGGTGCTTGTAATGCACGGCCAGGAGCACGGCCATCAGCTGATGGCAAAAGGTGGGATGCTCTGGCACACAGGAGGAGGCAGCCCCTCACACGGCTGTGCTCAGCATTCCCTTGCCATAGGGTGCTGCTCCTGTGAAAACTTCACAGCCCTTTCGGGGCCCATCCGTGTCACCCCACTCCTTACCCACAGCAGTGTGCTCCTGTCAGATCCTTCCCCAGACTCACGCTGTCTCACGAAGCTGTCCAAAAAACAGACTTGTAAAATACAGACAGCAGCCTCCTGCCTGCTTAGCATCCTGATGCAGGACCCCAAAGGCAGAGCCTGAGGCAAAGAGAGGTCAGCAGGGAGGAGCGCCGCCACTCCTCCTGCAGCAGCAGCAGCTGCACAGCATGGCCGCTCCTTCAGCTGCAGCTTTGCACAGTACAGAAACCTTGAAACAGATTTACGACTGTATAAATTGCTTCTCCACCTTCCCCACTCTGCTCCTTCTTTCTGCCTTTCAGTCAGTGGAGTCCATCCAGAACTGTTTTCGGTTTTAAAAAAAAAAAAAAAAAAAAAAAAAGAGCATTTTGTTCTGAGTTTCTCCAAAGACTGAGCTGCAGCCAGCGTAACGTGGTCGGTACCTAATGCACTGCAGAATACAATGTCCTACTCTACCTGGCAGTCTATTCTCTAGTAAGACAAAGGCACACCCAACACCAAAGCGCTTCTTCATTACTGCTTGTTTCAAAGCTCCTCTCGTCCTTCTGGCTCTATCACATTCAATCAGCCTTCAAACCTGCAACCAGCCAGCGAGGACAAAAAGATCACAACGCAGCAGAGAGCTGAGCAAACAGGCTTTATACAAACCACTTGGACAGGTTGGGCACAGCGTGGTAGCTGGCCTCTGTCCTCTGCAGGAAGTGACAGGCTCTGCAGACTTGCATGGTCCAGCTGATGCTCAGCACAGGTTTCAGCCACTTGCGCCACTGGAAGTAGCGCTGGTACCTCTCGGTGTCGTTGCTCAGCTCCCGCAGGTACTGAGCCAGTTCACCGGCGCTGGCAAAGTCATCGATGTGGATGAAGGAGTCAGGGGGCAAGAAGCGCTCGTAGTTTTCTCGAGGCGGCCCCAGAACAACAGGGATGGTGCCAGAGGACAGGGCGTTCTTCCAGAGCTTCTCAGTGATGTAGTCCTCATGCTGTGAATTCTCAAAGGCCAAGTAGAAGTTGTACTGGGACAGAGTTTGCAGGAGCAAGTCCATGGGCAGGGGCAAGTGATGCCGTCCGTACACATCCACGGGGATGTGTTTCTTCAGCTCCTTGTAGTACTTCACCCGGTGGGAGCTTGGTCTCCAGTTGCTGACCACCCAGGCCACCATCTTGGTCTTGGGTGGGATGCTGAAGGGCTGGGGCTGGCTGAGCAGCTGCAGCTCCCCATAGGGGGTGAAGATGTCCGAGTCTCTCCGGTACGACATAGTCAGGTTGAAGAGGTGGTTCATGGCACCTAAGTTTGGAGAGTGACTTGGGGACTCCATGTTGAACCAGATCCAGCGCTGGGATGGGAGCCTGGGGAGCTGGGCCAGCCTCTCCCCATCCCTATACACATCCCTGTGATGCATAATCACAGCATCTGCCTTTTGGGACCAGCTGCGGTCGGTGGTGAAGTGGCAGTTCGGGGTGTCAAAGAGCTCCGAGCAGTTGCTAAAAGTAAAGCGATGTCCGAAGGGCCACGTCCACAGCAGGATGGTCAGCCTGCGCTCACCCTTCGGCAGCGTGCTGGTATTTCCAGTTTGGAATCTTTCTGTGGAAAGATAGGAATTGTAATCCTCTGGCTCGGGAGTCCTGAACTGGCGAAGAGAAGCGAAGAGGCAGAAGCTGAAGATGAAGCTGAAGAGGAGGAAGGTGAGGAGTTTCTTCCAAGAGATCTTCCTCCCTTCCAAGAGCTCCGTGAATGGATCTGCAAACACCACAGACAGAGCGCTGAGCGGAGGCTGCATGCCGATGCCAGCAGGGCTGCGGCTCTGTGTGCACAGCACGGCGGGGGGGCAGGGGGGCCGGGCGCAGCATTGAGGCGCATTCACCTCCAGCTTCCTCCTGTCAGACAGAACGGCTGCTGTGGCAGCACGACGCACAGAGTGCTCACACCCACACGCACCCACGGGGCACAGCCGCCCCTCCACGGCGCCCGGCCTTTCCTCCATCCGCACCCACAGCCGCTTCTCATCAGCCGCCCCTCCTTTCACAGAGGAGCGCCACCAGCAGGGGGCGCCCGGCCGCTCAGCCCCACGCCATAACACCGCCCAGCGCTGAGGGACGCAGCCCTGAGGCGCTGCCCCGCCCACCGGGCACGTTTCCTTCATAAGCCCCGCCCCCTTCTGGTCACAACACGTTGTGATTGGCTGGTGGGACAAGCCACGCCTCCTTTCCCTCTGAGCGGGAAGGCGTTTCCCCACACACACACATGGTGGCAGCCATCTTGATTTTGACGCCGTCTCAGAACCAGGTGCTGCTGTTTGGTGGCTGCCATTTAGCTGGATGTCACAGCAGGAAAAATATATTAAATGCATACAGGGTGTGGGAGCGCAAAGAGGAGTGTGCAAACTTCTGTTTTATTTACTATAAATACACATAAATATTCATCTATCTACGCATGCACATCCCCATTCTGGCCATCAACAGCCAGAACTGCAAGTTAAGACCTTAAAGCAACCTGCCGTTCAGGGTCCTTGTGGCCTCCGTAACGCCATGCCAATAAGATTCTTGTTGCTGAGATGCAACCTGCATTTAGCATTCCCAATTAGCAGTCTTTAATATATGTATATTTTTTCTGTTTGGCTAGTCTGGAGGTCAAAATCTCCAGACTATCAGCAGCCTCTGTCAGAACACCATCTTCCACCCTTTAAGCAGCAGCATCCTGCTGTGTGCACCCTTCTGTACCAGAGACACGGTCTTCCAGCTCTGCAGCAGCCCCATTGCTCTCATTGATCCCCATGCTCTTTTCTGCAGTTGCTGTGGTCTCTGAGATCATAGGGCTGCAGCCTGTGCCCCAAAACCTGGGTTCTGCCTCTTTTGCAGCTCTTGGGACAGTCTAACAGGACGGTCTTCATTGCATGCTTAGCTTTCTACCTCTTATTTGCAGGACAAGGGAGCACATACAGCACCAACCCACACCCCAGTGTCTTACAGGTAAGATTTGCAGCACCAGGATTTCTGGCAGAAGCTGGTGGGACTGGCACCAGTCACTTCATGTCTATCAGTTATGCTGACACTACTGACAGGCATGATGTGAGAGCACAGAGGGAAAAAATACCTCCCTGCAAACAGAGGCGAAAACAGATCTCCACAGATCTCCTCCCTGATGCACCCCGGTGCCCCTAAGGAAAAGAAAGAACCGTGGCAGCTCACCTGTAGGCATGGTCCTGGTGTGAAACTGCACAGTGCAGGGGAGAAGCTGAAGTGAAGGGCACAACCAGGAACAGAGGAGAACAAAGGAAAGCACAGACGTGGGGTGGGATCAGTGATGTGTTCCAGGCATCTTGAATGGCGTGTGCCAAATGTCAGCCAGCAGAACCCTCACCCAGTAACGAAGGCCATAAGGAAACAAGGACAGATTCCTCTGACAAATTTGTGAACAAAGGTTAGACAAAGCAACTCTTTTATTGACTGCGATAAAGCACACCTCATTTTTGAGAACACCTCTATACATGCAATAGCTTACTTCCTTTACCATTCTTGGCCACAGGATTTGCATGTGATGTGCTTTCTTCTCCACCTTTTGTCACACAGGACATTTCTGTTTGAGAAAGGTGGGGCGAGTTAGCAGGGAGTGGAGGTTGAGGCCCCAGGTCTACAAGCCCCCTGCACACAGCAGGGTTCGTGCCACAGCTGCCTCCATCCCCATGCCAGGATTCCTCTTCTAATCACCTTTCCAGGATCTCCGTCCTCATGGGACTGTGCCATCAGGGATCACCTGGAGCTTCAGAGTAGAGGAACACTTGGATCAGGACCGTTCAGGGGATCCTTCCTGTACCCAGCACCGCATACCTGGCTTTGGAGTGTCTCCAGCCCCAGTGAATAGGCATTGTACAACATGATCTGTGGACACACGGAGGCTGTTTGTTTGCCACGGCCAGAGTGAATTGATCTCGCATTGAGCTTGGCTGCACTTGGCTGGGACGAAAAAACCCACAGCCATTATGTGTTATTATAGGGATTAACTATCGTTTCTTGCTGAGGGTATCTGAGCACTGCGGCCAAAAGCACAAATGAAACTCCTGCATGATGTCCCCAGATGTTATTTTCTTCAAGGCTGTGGAGAAGAAAGAATTGAGTTTCCAAGCACTGCAGAAAGCTCTGAGTCGAAGGATCCCGGAGCACCAGATGAGAGGCTTCAGGCAGGTAGAAAATTCAACACTTCTGTACTCCTGAAAAGCAGGACCACAAGGAACGTCAGCTGGGAGGGGTGACTGATGTAAATTAAACAAATGAGCACATGCAGGGAAGGCACAGAAAACAAATCATAAAGCTGTGAATTGAGAATTGTTCTGAGTGGCACAGGTGACATGAGGTGACAGATCACTCAGAAAGTGATGTGAGTGGTGACACGGCTTGGACAAAGAAGCCGTTCAGGTAACAGACTTGGCAGGACCGAACACGAGGATTTATTGCTGTGTGATGAATAGGTTTGGAATCCCCAGAATCTTAAGACAAAAATTAAGGCTGAGCTCTTAGGAGAAGCTTACTGCTCGCTGCGTTTGCTGACAAAGTGATTGCAGGGCTTCAAGGGCTGAGTGTTCATTCACCTTGGTGATCAGAGGAAGATGAGAGGGCTGAACCCTCAGTGCCAGCACAGCAATATCCTTATTGCACAACGTAGCATGCGAGGGCAAGCCCTGAGCCCAGGGCTATAGCAGAGACGTGAGCTCCTGGAGGTGTTCCTCTAACCAGACGCCTTGTCCCAAGACGGAGACTCCAGGAGAACAGCGCTGTGTCCCACAGCCCTGCTGGCAATGTGCGTCTCCTGGAACCGAGGCACATTGAGTCGTTTGATGTCCGCATTAAAAGTAACTGTGGAAAGGTCTCTGTGCATTTCCAACTCCGTCGGAAAGCTTCTGCGGAATCTAGCAGGGAACAACGCTGCGTTTCCTTGCTGCATTCTGCTTGGGACAACTGTGAATTGTAAGAGCAGAGCAAAGCAGCTGGAGGAATGCTGAGCTCTGTCACGAAATCTCACCGGGAAGCTCAGCCTGGGGCTCTCACAGCTGCTGTTCCTGGCCACTCCCGGATCATCTGCAGAGAGATGATCAAGGTTTTCCAGGAACAAAGATGTTACAGGATGTGAGAGAGGCAAATACCAGCTTGGTAGTCCCAAACACGCGGCTGAGCCTCAGCAGGTAGCATGGATTGCTCCTGCTCAAACACGATGGCTTGGTGCTGTCCTCCAACACCCTCAGCTTTTTTACCTGAGCAGACCTAAAGAAGCATCACCTAAAGAAGCAATTCTCATTTCTCATGTGAGTTTCCAATGTAAGGGAGGAGAATCAGGGAGGGACTTCACCCCAAAGGTAAAATAGGGCCCGTGACGCCGGTCGGGTTGTTTGTGCCTCACCACATAATCCCACACTCTGGTTGGCATCCAGCTAAGGGTTTCTGATCCTCTAGGTTAAACCAAGCTCATGGCACAGCCTGGTAACAACAGATTGGAAAGACGTGGCACTGGGAATGGATTTAGCTATGCCTGATCCTGAGCACTTTCATGGCAGAGTCCGATGAGGTTGGCAGCACCCAATCCTTCACCCATTAGCATCCTCCCTCCCTGACCAAACCACGCCACCACTGTCTCCCCTCAGTCTGCCCATGGTTTCCCTCAGTCTTTATTAGATCACCAGTTCTGTGCACTCCCTGGCACCACAACTCCTCCTAGAGAGCAACACCTCTGGCGTGGGGCTGAGTGCTTGGAACATGCAGCCCCACTCCAGCCCCACAGAAAGCAGCAGGGAGCCCTGCTTATTCGCAGCCGTGAGCTGGCATTCAACTTGGCTCACCCAGCAAATGGGAATCTGTATATGAGGCAAAAAGCTGCCTTCCCTCTGACACTTCACACCACCTCCCCTGGTCCAGTAGCAGCCAAACATGTGGCGAGCTGCCCCCACAACTGTCCCCAGCCAGGCAGTTCCTTGCAATCATCGAGTGTCTTTCCCAGGTCAAGAGCCAAGATCCTACATTTCTCAGCATTTAGTAATCAGCACGTGATGGTGTCAGTGTAGAATTTCAGCGACTGCAAGCGGTGACACCTCAGAAATCCGTTTTGGTGCAAGCAATCCAAGCAGACAGACCTGAATGCTTAAGCAGAAAAGGAAGCTGGATGACAGGAACATCTCTCACGGGTGCAAGAGGACCAGCCTTATGTGTACACACACGTGAATGCTGCTAAGGGGCAGCTTTCTGGTTTAGAAAACGTGTTTCTTCTGTTCCATATGGAACCATCCTATGCTGGGCTTGGAGAGAGGACTGGGAGCAGCCACGCTCCTGGCTCTGGGAATTCTCTTGGCTCAGGGTGGTGACCTGGATGGGGAGCTCAGTTTTTTCCCCTCTCTCAGACTTTTCCAGCCTATGCCTGGATGTCGCCTTTTGACCTTAAGGACGATGACAGTGAGCTTTGTTAGGGCTTAGGGAGGTGCAGCAGCTTCCTCTGCCCCCACTTCAGTCCATACCCAACAACTACAGAACACCCAGAACTGCTGGATGCTGCAGGTAACGCAGTGCCAACCAACTGCTGCTCCCAATGAGTTTCATTGTGTCTGAGCTTCTGTTCCCGTTCCCAGCCCCACCTGGATTCCCAGCACCGTATGAGGGACACAGACATGAAAAAAGGACATTATGAAGTTACATCCACAGCTGCACTGCAGCCCAGGAGCAGAGGGTTCTTTTCGATGAGTGTTTAATGAGTGCAGTATCAGGGAAATTGAAACCCCGTTGCCTCATTCTCTGCTTTTGGTTCTGGTTTGCCTTTTTGCCACTTTTCCTAAGGAAATGAGTGTGTGATAGAGCTGTGCTGTAGACATCCTGCCTGCCCAGCACCTGCCTGCCTCCCAGTCCCCAGCAAGCCGCCACCTCTTCTCACATGGAAGGTCCTGCAGGAACCTCACCACTGCTGCATCCCCACTCCGTCTTCATTTTCCTCTTTGCGACCTTTCCATATACCCAATGCAAAGACCTACCAGGATCTTTCCCATTGGAGAGAAGATTTGCCCACCTCTGTGCTCAAAGCTACACTCAGTGTGTGGGGCAGGCTCAGGGGAACCCACAGGACGATGATTATTCTGTAGGTCGAGGTGTTTTAAGACCCCAGAGGACCACTCCATCCTCCTGCTGGGTGCTGTTGTACAACGTCACACACAGTGCACTGTGTGAGGAGGTGTCAGGGTAAATTTGGGATTTTCTGTGTGGCTTTCAAACCCGGCAGGCGGGGAACTGAGCTCTTTATTTATTCCCTCTCTGCATTTTAAGAGGGAATTTTTCACTCAGAGGGTGGTGAGGCGCTGGAACAGGAGGCTGTGGATGCCCCATTCCTGCAGGCATTCGAGGCCAGGCTGGATGTGGCTCTGGGCAGCCTGGGCTGCTGGTTGGTGACCTGCACGCAGCAGGGGGTTGGAACTGATGGGCACTGTGCTGCTTTGCAACCCAGGCCGTTCTAGGATTCTATGATGATTCTAAGATTACGGGTCCCTACAGATCCCTATGGCACCCTATGGCACCCCATGGGTTCTCTGGGCAGCCTGGGCTGCTGGTTGGCGACCTGCACACAGCAGGGGTTGGAACTGATGAGCGTTGTGCTCCTTTGCAACCCAGGCCGTTCTGTGCTTCTCTCATTTTTTCTGCACACAACATTCTCTCCCCTCTGCTGTAACCCATCCCCAGGGGTGGATGGCAGCACGTCAGGGCATTTCTGAGGCAGCTCCAGCACCGCCCATAGCCCTGCCATCACCCTCAGCCCCAGCTTCAAAACAGGAGGCAGATAAGAGATTGCCTGCTAATGGCTTCCCATATAAATATTAGGACCTTCCCTCTCAACCCGGTTTACTCTGTGCGCTGACCCTCTGGACGAGGTCGTGGGGAATGGGGAGCTGTGGGAGGTCCCCAAGTTTTATAAATGAGAGGATCTCCTCTTGGAGGCACGTACCAAGAGGCACCCGGGAGCCAAACTCGCTGATTAATGGTACCAAGGAAGGCTGTTGCAGCACCAGAGCTGTGCTGAGGAGGGATTACTGAGAGATTTAGCAGTTCAGGTGGATGAGGGGTGATTTGTCATTTGTCTGCTGTGATTCTCCAGGGGAAAAGGGGAAAAGAAAGAGCTGAAAATCATTTAGCATGCAAGGAGGAGACAAAAACCAGGGTGTTCCCTTCAGTTTTGATGTAGTGGAGGTGTGGATGTGGGTCCAGGTTCCTGGCATGGGGCTGATGGGTGGATGCATGGTTGGTCTGTGATTGTGTGAAGTTCGGAGTGGTGCCAAGAGAACTCGCCACCAGAACTCATCATCTCTTCCACTGCAGCCTGTGCAGATCCTGTTGGCTCCCAGGCTGCTTCACCCCG